ACACTGGAGCCAGACGGCAGACAGATTGTGGGAATCACACGCATTGATTGTAATGCTTGTGTATTTGATCCGCCTGCCGTTCTGTATCCTGTGGAATTTAGCCTTTAGGATTACTGTTATTGTCTAGTGTAAATAATCCCGAATTTGAGGCGCCTTTATATACCAGAAAAGGCCTGACTTGATATTTGCAGTTGTCTCTTTTAAACTGTCCAAAGTTGTTGCTTTGTGGTCTTTTTTCCAGGGGATCTTAGAGCAAGAACTCCTCCTTCTTTACAGAAAGAGGAAAAGTTAATGTTGAAATGCTCAAAGCTTTCAGTCTTTATCAAACAGGAAGTAGTTTTTATCTCAGCCATGCATACTCAGATCTGATCCAAACTCACTGTGTATGTTAAGGACTCCGGCATGAACACATCTATATATCTTATTGTTTACATATCTCCTCACAGTCAGAGCGCCACCTAGTGACAACATACTTCGTTCCTTCACTCTAGGAGCTGTAATTTTACATTAGATTAACATATTGGCAATACTTTTAACTTCGGTTACTCAGGAAAAGTTGTTCTCCATGTGTAGATAATCTAAAGTTAAACATCCACATCCTGATCCATATATGGGCAACAGGAAGTGCTGGTTACAACTTGAAACTAATGCGTCTATTGAAACCTAAATATGTTATATTTCCTCAGATCAATTGTTTTTCTGTCTTTTTCTGTCAACTAACTAGCTTCTCTTCTGCTGATTTCAACATTAATTTTAACATTAGGTTATGTTTTCTACCTTACAGGACTTGCTTTAAAGTTCAGCTGGAGTGGAGGAGGAGGACGGCAGCCCCACAGCCCTGCAGCAGCTGCCGGAGTTGACGAAGTTGTTTCAAGTTGAAGATAGTCAAAGGTACGGCATGTCTTGATTTGATGCACAATGCTGATGTGCTTGACTTTGGAGGTTGTGTCCCCTCTTGCAAGAAATTAGTTTCCATCATAAATTGCATTTCACTTCATCCCTATCTCTAAAAAAGTCCATGTCTGTAGTTGATATCTCATAAAGTGACACCATCCTCTGATGGAGAGTGTTTTCGAGACACTGTAATTTTCCTGGTTTGGTCTATTTCAGATTAAAAGTACTTGTATGAAAGTTGTTGCTCTAAAGTTACTCAAAATAATCCAACAAATCGTCTCTCTGCGGTTGTAAAGTGTATCAGTTGTTTGTAAATTTCCTCATATTGCTCCGGGAGGTGTATTAATGTCTTGACATTTTCTTATTGACTTGGAAATCTTGATGAGACCATTTCAGACTCTGGGGGAGAAAATCTAATCAGACATCACTCGCTGTGAAAAAATCCCATCGACAGCAGCTACTGCCCCTTACCTCAGATTTCAAAAAAGAGTCAGACCACTCAGATCTCTGACAAAAAAAGACTTTCAAAGGGAAAGAAAAACCCTTTCTTGACAGCTGGAGCCTGATCCCCTTTTAAATATCCTCTGCCTGACAGCACACATTACGCTATTGTTCCACCTCTTATCTGTCAGTCCAATCGGTCCTTCTGTCAGATTTTAATCCCCCTATCTGTTGCATGATGCCTAAATGGCTTCCTCCCCGTGGGTTTGATGTCATCGCTGCCCTTTAGAAACTCAATGAAACTTCCTAAACGCAGCTCAAACAGAGGGCACCATAAATCCCTGATTGGGGGGGCAGCTGGCATGTCCGAGTCTAGCGGAGGCATATCGCCTGTCGTCCATTTAGTGAATTTAAATCAGGTAAAAGGAAACAGTCAAAGTCAAAAAACTGGAAACTTTATTCTATCTACAAGAAACTTTACAATTTACTCAAGTTTGTCATTAAAAGTCCAACACTGCTTGATTATACTAACAATGTTTGTATGCAAGCAAAGCTCAGCTGCGCCCGGGCTTACAAGACTAGCACGCACATTTGAGGCCGGTTTGAGTCCAACAAATCAAACCAGGGGCAAACACGGGTCTTAAAATGTCCTCTGTCATGTTGTGTTAATGAATGCCAAAATAGAAGAAGTGATAGTATTGTCTCAGGACTAAAATACCTAGCTGTTTAGGTCCAAGCTCTTTAACTCTCACCTTCTCCTGCAAAGATCTCCTCTCAAACGACACTATTCCCAGCTTAGTTATCCCTCTGCAGCTCTCTCCAAAGTTTATTATTATTAGGATGGATTCCTTTAGATGCACCATCTTGTTTTTTTAAGTTGCATGTCTTGTTCTTAAAGGGACATTACCTTTCTGTTGACACCTGCTGGCTGGGGGTGTGTAATTCAGTTATTTCCTCCCTAAGTAAGACGACCAAATTATTCACTTTTCAGACTAGATACAAAATCTTTTTTTGTACCAGGCTGTGAATATGCTTATTCTTGCTGTCAAATATAACACAGTGGACACTGAAATCGACAGATTTAGCTTTTAATATTTTGTCTTTACTTTGAATCACAAGAGGTTTCTCCTTAGCTGTGACATTTCTTTTAAATTCCTTCAACTCTAAGGCCGATTTAAAGCATTTAACGTTCACATAAGATAATAAATTGTCATAAATAACTTTCACATAATCTCATAAATTGCCATAACTAAGCAGGAGTTTGTCTTATATACTCGGTAATGATGACAGTTTGAATTATGAACACTGTCTTAAGAGTCCAGTGGCCCTTAAAGCCTGAACAGCACATTATCAGGCTTGGTATGGAGTATATATTCGGACAATAATGGCTTTTTTGGGGGGTTTATAAGTGAGTCACTGTGAGCCAAAACACATCAGATTTCCATTCAGTGTAAGGGAATATTATTCGTACACAACCAAAAGCAGAAACAGCAGCCTGGCTGTGCGGTCATTAAGACTTTGGGTCTGGTTCTGGATGGAGGTGGCGACAGGTGTGAACACTTGTTATGTCTGGACTCGGGCAGGGTAATTGCATGCTGGCAGGCTGAGGACAGGTCTATGAGCTAAGTGAGTGGAGGAGCTGGCCTTTTAACCAGCCGTCACTCTGGCTTTAATAAGATCCAATAGAAAGCTCATTACACAGTCTCACATCAACACATCTTTCAGGTTTTTTTCCACTAATTGGCAAATTTGGCAAAACTGCGCTTTTTTTAACGCAAATTATAGACTTCACTTTTAATTACGTACCATCATTTTTTTCGTCAAATAAAACATGGACGTCTTTGTGACAGATTATAAACGTCAAACAGGCTTCTTTATTGCAGCAGGATGTATGAAATACTATCTTAACGTGATTTAAAGAAAAAGCCTATATTGCCGTCGCTCTGCTGCAGTTTTCATACACATTTCTGTTTTAGGAAGTCTTTCTTAATCAATATAATTCCTCCCTGCAGGACAGAAGTGACTCCTTCTCTCTTTCTCTGTGTTGTGTTTTGAGTTTAATTAAAATCACATTAAATCCTCGCCTTATGTTTTTATTTAACAACAAAGCACTTCTATTTCAAAGCAGCTGGATGCAATGAGAGCCTGTTGTAGCTACATCTTCATTCGAACGTCGTCTGTCTCATTATTGTAGGTTTGGAACAACTGCATGTATTTGTTTTTGTCAGCCCATTGTCATCCTTCATTTTCATGTTCACTGGGATGTTATTTTCATCCTCCCTCTGACTGTAACCTGTTTGGCAGGTGCAATCAGCATATGTTATCCCTCCATCTGTTGCCGGATAATATCACTGCAATATTGCTTTCCTCTCAGTGACTGCATGTCAGAAGTGTCGTGCACAAACCTCCCTTCTCCTGAAAGTTAACTTTTCCATTACAAAAAAGCCTGATTTAGCCCATCAATTGTTTGGCTGGGTTCCAACATTATGAAACCTTTTCTGCACGTGGAGATAATGTCAGCTGTCAGCCGCGGTGAAAAGAAAATAAACTACCAGAAATGGGAGATATCAGGTTTTTGCAGGACACCGGCGATGATGAGTGTGCGGCGGTTTTGTAATCTTCCTCTGTGAACCTTCGGTGCCGTTATTCATCAGCACAGCTCTGTGGCTCCCAAATAAATTGCGAGTTATTAACGCGGCGGCTCTCAGAGAAATGAATGTGTCCTACTCTGAAATGCTAAGCCATGAGAAAAGTCTTACATAAAATCGCCGTTTAATCCTCGCCACTGATGTAATCAGTCAAATGGCACACATCTGAAATCTGATGCTGGAATTGGGATCCCTCCAAAGTACACTCGATGCTCCGGATTGTTCCTGTGATGCCAGCCAGACAGCTGTGGGTTCGGCGCTTTGTGCCAGATGCTCTGAGCTCGCACACATGGTGGCCCTGTAGATCACGGGGTATGGAGCATTGTTTACGTCTGTGCACTGCAGCTCCTGCAGACATATTGTCGGATTTAAATTGAGAAAAAAACGGAAAACTTTGCCCCTGCACTGTTAAATCAATAGGAGAAAATTCCAGCAGCTCAATATGCTGCTTTCGGCCTCCTTCAGCGTCATGTAACCGGGCAGACTATGACCTCCAGCCAGCCTGAGTTTTTCTCTGCAGCTTAAAAACCAATAACACATGTAGAATTTATCCTAAAGCTGTTCTCAACTTGCAAACTGACTCGACTTGAGCAGGAAATTGTGGTTATTTTTACTTTCTCTTGACATTTTCTCTTACCATTGGTTTGATTTTTGTGCTGCTGATGAGAGGAAATAAACTATCAACATTTTTATCCTTTTTCGATGACATGTGGAAGTCTGTTACACCTAAATAAACTAGGAATGGAAGTAGCAGGGGATAGTTGAAGGAAAAATCTTACATATTTCTTCCCTTGATGCAATCTAAAATTTTCCATCCACCAATGATTAAACCACATCAACTCCTCCCTGAAATATCACCAATCTGCGTAACCCTGCCGATGCATTTTTTTTCTCTGTTTGGAGGAGGTCTGAGTTGCAAATATTTCCTTCTTCACAAAGGTTTTTAATATTAAAACAAACTCTTATACACTTTTGGTTATACTGGGAAAGATGTAAAACTGCAGAGGCGAGCAGCATGATTGGGCCAGGCTTTACTCGAGGTGTATTTTTAGTCAGGGTGTGACAGTCATTTCTCCAACTACAGTGACACACATAGTGACGGCTTCTGCTTCCACACTTATCCCGATGGCCTCGGATGTGGAGCACCTGGGCCCGGCACTCCACACCGGATATATAAGCAGCTTACAGTGGCCTCGATCTCTCTCTGTCTCTCGCTCCCCATGACAGACCGGCGTTGCTTGTGTGAGCGCACTCTCAAACACACCGTTCACATTACTGATCATACGGACTCTACACATCTCCTTCTTACTTTCGGCACTTTTAGCTCCGTCTCTTTATCCTTTTCAGGATGTGGTGCAACAGAAAGTTGTCTCTTGGATTTAACCGACTCCTTATGAGAAGAAGCACAGCCTATAGAGAGGACAAGGGGACAGATTACTCCAATTATTTTCGGAAAGTAAAACTGAGCATTTAAGCTTGTTTTCTTCTCTATTAAAGCAAGATAAATTCAGGACATCTTTAAGGTAGTATTAAAGAAAAAACTGCTTAACTAAGACTTTTTCACAAACTCTGCATGTTCTCTTTAACCTCCTTCAGCCACAGAAAGTCATGATGACCTTTTACTTTCCCATTACCCTATACTGTCAAAGTATACCATTAAACTAATCTGGATGTTTTCATGTTTTTTTCTCTTGTGAATGAGTCTCTGTACGATGATCCAGATGAATTTGCGCTCAAACTACTGTCAAAATCTCAGTTTAATATGTCCAACGTATCCTCCATCATTTTTTTCCGGCAAAGGGGCAGAAAAAAAACAGTTACTTACTTTTGGGGCTTTTTCGCATTCATTTATTGAGACAGCTTGGGGTGTCCCAAATCATGCTGGAATTGGAGTTTGAACCCGTGACCGGTGTAACAAGGACCATATGCTGCATTCCAGTTACCTCAGAAGTCGGATGTCGAAACTGGGAATGACGTTACACCCGATGTTGACCGCGTTCCAGTAAACAAGTCGGAAAACCAAGATGAATGCCTTCTGTTAGCTGTTGTTTACATTTGTCCGCTGTCCTTAGTTGTTGTCAGCTGTTCTCAGTTGTTAGCAATACCAATTGTAAACAACGCATATCACAGTATTTTACTCTTACAAACACCATAGCACCGTGTTCACAGTTAGTTGTTTGGCAGTACAACAAAAAACACTTATTTAATTTCACAAAAAGAAAACAGAAGTGCTGATAAATGTTACATTACAAGAGCTTTTACTGTTACTCTTGACTGTTGATGCACTGCGCTGCCATCTTGGATTGTGATGTTGTCGTCAGATCGAGGTCGGTGAGGATCGTCCAACTTTCCGAGACTTAAGGGGGGCGTTCCAGATGAATTTAAGCTTGGAAATCCCGACTTCCGGGTATAACTGGAACGCAGCAATAGCCTCCAATTATGGGGCACAGTTACAGAGACAGTTTTTTACATCACATTTAACCACATTTTCGTCCCTATCAGCTTTGTGTCTCTTAATTTGATTCTCTATACATAAAAATATTTTAAAATATGCGCTTCTACGTCACCAAACGGTGTATTTATAGTTACATCTCAACTTAAAATGGACCTTTAAACGGCTTTATTCACTTTCCTGAAGGAGCGTTCGCTTGTAAGTGTGCTCATTAACACTTCAAACCCAATTCTCTTAGTAAGTAATTCATTTATTCAGAGCACTGACTCATAATCTCACATTGTGCCTTCAGATGAGTCATTACGGTTCATAACTGCTCACCTGTTTTCTCCTTTTGTGAGAGAAACAGGCTTTTATAACCTTTTGTATTCTGCAGGTGGTTATTTGAGAATTTCACGCGGCTTATCCCTGACCCCAAAAATAATCTCCCGACAGCTGCAGCAGCCTACAGAAAAAATCACGCTGCAATGTGATTTGCAATGTCAGTAACAATAATTATTTCAGGCTTTAAACCACAGAAACCCAGATGTCACTTGTGTTCAGCGTGTGGGGGAGAGAGGCTCGGCTTCAAAGGGGAAATTTCTCTGATTCACTGTCGTGTTTCATCAATCTGCGCTTTTCATCTCTCTCCAAAAGTTATTTCGTGATGCAGGGTCCGCTGACCTTTTCCGTGTCCAGTGATCCCTCGGCCTGGCTCCCGCCTCCCAAAAACCGTCTTTTGTTCTCGGATTTGGTTCGTGCAGCCAGGTTGTGAGAGGCAGCAACAGTTCGAAAAAGAGGAAACAGCTTTTATACTCAAAGCAATTAAAACAGCTGGTAGAGATTCGTTTATCATCTGAACAAGCTGGAAAAGAGCCGTCTCTGGCCAGCTGGTCCTCAGATGAATTACTTGAATGGGCCGCCTGAGTGTCTACAGTATTAGGAGACTATGTCGAGGGATCCATCATCTTATAATGCGTCCATTCGTGTGCCCCCCCAAGATTTCTTCAAAGTTATTCAAAGTAATGGGATGAGAAAAAAAAATGCAATTCTGCTGCGAGAAAAGAAAATTTAAGAGGGCGACTCGGCATGCAGCCTGTGACGACGCTAAATCACTCTTGGTATAGATCGAGTCGAGCGAAGGACACTGACCTTGAGAGCTTGACAAGTTGTAGTCGTAAGAGGAAACAAGTGCAACTAAAGATAAGAGAAGTCCCAAACTCAACTGATATGGAGGATAAAAAACAAGCAGAGATGGTTTTGCAAGCATACATGACAATCTTTGTGCATATTTATCATATTCAGACCTACGAAAACTTCTCTAAGACCCAAGAAACAGGAAGTCCTATTCCTCTCAACCATACTGCTCCAATCTGACCCAAACCCACTTTGATATCTTAGGAGTCCAGGCCTGTATGCATTCATGTGGCAATAATCAATTCCAGTCACAATGCCCCCTAGTGGCAAAAGGAAATTCAATGCCTTTACTCCTCAAACCGAAGCTTAAAATTCAACATTAAATTTCCAACTGTTTCAGCTACATCGACGTTATGGCACAAGATTGGGTTTATGTTCCAGTCTGGATACGTCCATTTTTGAATGTTTCAACAGGAATGTAAACCTTCCAGTAAAGGAGGCAAGACACTTCAATTGACATGACAAACTCTGTGGTTGCTCCACACCCTAAAATCTGCCATACCATACTAAAATCTGTCCAAGATCCCCTTTTATTGCAAAACATCGGTGTGTCTACTAAATCACAAACTTCTCAGCTTTCACGTGCCCCAATACTCAAAGTTGGTTCATGCATCAGGCCAGGTGAAAATTTGGATATATTACGGCTTCTGCACTAAACCATACAAACAAAAACCGTGCTCCTTAGTGCCCCCTATAAGCCCCTCATGTATCACACCAAAACCAATAAAAAGCCTCTTATCATCATTGTTCCACAAATCCTTGTTGTATTGGGTGTTCACATTTGGTATCGTCATTGTACTTCATTTTGATTTTTGGTATTTTCATGGTTTATGTTTTGAGGAAACAATTTGTTGGGATGAATCTTCTTGTGCCTTGTTGGGTTTTTTTTGTCCCACTGAGGCTTTTTAGTCCATTTTTCATCACTTCTGTAAATGCTAAGAATTTGCGGTCGAAATGGTGAAGATGTTTTCTGCAGTTGGTCCGACTTTTTGCACGTCGATTGTAGTTTCTTGGAGAGCTGTTGGGATGATGTTCGGGGTTTGAATATATTCCAAACAGTGGGAATCTCATTGATATTCAAAAGCTGAAATCATTTAGTATTCGAGCAGTTTTTCCCTCCTCCATTAATTTGAAGTGGCGACCCGCCACCCTTGCCGAACCCCTTGCAACTCCAGAATGCACAAAATATGTTGTCCGTGGAAGTTCTGTGATTTATGTGCAGTCATTTCAGTTGGGTCGGGTTGATGAGGTTCCCTGCACCGAGCCATCTCTCTGCTGCTCTCTGTTATACGTGTGTGTTCCTACTGAAGGCAGGGCTCGTTCATGCTTCACACTCTCAGCAAAGGCTTGATTTTCATGAAAGCGAGCACGTTAACAGGTCAGAGCTCTCAGACTGCCGGCAAGAATCCAGAGAGTGGAATACTTGCCTATTTTTACCATGAGTTGGACACTTTGCAGGCATGAAAATAAAATACGGTTATCCTATCTGGATGCTTTTCAAAATAAAAGCCTGATTCTTTTAAGTCACTGCCCTAGTTTCATCCTGGACAGTTATCGAGTGAATAATGAAACTTGTGATGCTCTTTTTGGCTTTTGGTCATAAATATGCAAATTGTGTTTTTGTTGCGTACCACGTGACTTCATGAACAAGTAAGTTTTCTGACTCCTAAACACAGAATTAAAATCATGACGGTGTAGGTTTGGGCTGCCAGATCTGTTCGGGGCCTAGCGCCTGTTGAAGATGTCACACTACGGCAAGTCCATGAAGACAAACTACGTTGCGCTCCATTTAATAAGTCAAAAGTGTTCAGTTAGAAGCCCCTCGCGTTTTTTTTATTTCTGTTTGACCTCGAAACGTACAAATTACTGTGCTGTAATTTTTAGATGGTTTTAATTGTAGATGTTAAATTTTCTGAAGGAAAGAGAAAAAAAATATATACACAGGATCTCCATTTATCAGTAGATAGTTTTGCTCATAGTTAGATTGTTTAGTTTTATTCCACATTACCGCTTACCGTAATGTCTGGACCAACCACAATGTTCTTCGTCATCCAAACCAACTTTTAACCAATCATATAGCGTAATGTCACCAGGAGGCACCGGGCCCTGAGCCAATCTGGAAGCCCGAACACATCTGGTACCTACTCCGGAAAACAAGATAGTGCAGCCATGGAGACCAACAGAACAAGTTCAGTAAAAATTGAGCATAAATTTTTTAAATCTAACTCTAAAGTCTAAAATAATACAAAATGAATTTTAAATTGTAGATTAGGATTGACTGCCCTTGTGTTTTGTGCTGTCTAGGCCACCGTAGCAAAGTGGAATAACCTCTGTAAAAGCTGAATATTACCATTTTTAATAAACACATTTAGCTTCTTTTAAACAATGGCAGATTTTATATAAAGCAAATATATTTGGATTCACAACAGAGATCAAAACTGTTACAAAGGTGTCGGTTAAGCTTAAATTTCTATGATTATAAACAGTGAGTAAACTCCAGATGTGTGGGTGTAGATGGATTGACTTTAAAGCTGTTAAATTAATTATATTTTAGAAAGCATTAATGGCACAAGGCCAGAATTTAACTACATCAATATGCATTTGCCAGTTGGACCAAAAATCTCCCATAAATTTCTAATTTCTGTCACAGAAAAGAAAAAGTAAAAGAGAAATAAGCTACAGCAAACCCGCTGTGATGGTAAGTCATCCCTGAAGGGTGTAAAAATGGCAAAAGAAAATACATTAATTAAAAACTCTCTGTTTTTTCAGGCTGGATTCGTACCAATTATGTTAATTTTAAAAAGTGTTAGCAGCATTTTCAGCTGAACCAACGCCAGGTGTAATCACTTAGCGACTAGAAAGAAACAATCTTTTCTTACTTCTCTAAACCACAGAGCTCATTAGAAGTTTCCATAGTAACCACACATGTATATGACCTGCCCTCTTAATTGATAAAAGTCCTCTCTCTGATACTTGATAATGTGTTGAACTGTCATCTTCACCTCCGTCTACAAACGAGTCTCTCTAATGATCACCTGGAAGTCGATCAGCTCTGCAGGCTCTGCTGATACTCAGATCCACCTTAATGGAATCCCACCCACAACCGCTGATCAGCACTGCTTTAGTAAATATGTAAATGAACTGTGGAGACTTAGCACCACCGCCGCACATTTCAATTAGTTTCATTGTCATGGTATAACATTTGTCATCGTAAACAGCACCATATGCTCACAGCACTTAATTCAAGTTGGGGGGAGATTATGAGCAGATGATTTAGCAATTGCTGCGCTCCTCCACACTGATATGGCACCGGCTGATGTGAAGTGAAATGAAGCCAGGCACTGGAATGAGTAGAGGGCACCGTTTCCCTCCCCTCTGATTGACTAAACATTTAGCTGCGATATAATTGGCTGTGTAACAAAGTGACCGTGGGGCGTGAATACATTTGTAACGAGCCCTTTGATCAGGCTCGCGGGCATGCTGGCATCCTGTGCCTCCCTCCACATGGAGGCCTGTCAGACATGTTCGCGGGGTTGTGAAGGGCAGGGCTTCAGTACGAGCTAAATGATGGGGGCAGTCTTGTCACCAGGTTTGTTTCATCCAGTTCCTCTAATGTGGGTCTCTGTGGTTAACACTTAGAACTCTGCTGGATAGCGGGCGATCCCACGTGACACCATTTATGTTGTTTACAGTTTCTCAGGAAACATACGGTGTATCTCTATGGGGTAAAAAAAAATTAGCCTTTGGCGATCTATCTGGGGTTTCCGGGAATTTCTACACCTGCCACAAGGTTTACAAAAACAGGTGTTTGATCAGAGACGTTTGATGGTAAATCCGCAGTGATATACCGGTGAAAACAGGATTATTTATCATATTGTTGTGATAAAAAAAGATTGCAATCGCTAAATGCTGCTTATGTCTTCCAAGTTTGACAAGCTGTTTCGTGACGTCTCTTTTTCTGTCAACTTTTGACCAATTACATGGTCTCATATTCTTCTTCTATTGTTCCCTTGACGGTATTGTCCAATAAGAGGCAACCAAAGATCAACAACAGACAAGAAAGTTCCCTGCTTGTCAGCAAATAAGAAATAATGGACCTCAACGTTTGGAAACAACTAAAGAAGAGATTCTGAGCACTACTTCAAGGAGTGGCATAAACAACCGTAAATAGTAAAAAAAAAACGTCTGGAAGAATAAGTGTAAATATGTAAATTAGGGCTGAAACGATTACTCGAGTAACTCGAGTAACTCGATTAATAAAATTCCTCGAGGCAAATTATATGCCTCGAGGAATCGTTTAAATCCGGAACCATGTGCAGCGCACGGTGTTTGACACGGACGGTTATTTCTGTTGCGCAGCAGCGTGCTCTTTCCGCTCCCGCGCGTTTCATAGACATAATAAAAGGGTAGACCCCGCTGGGGGTGCTGCGCAGCGAGAAATGCGGCCGCCATCTTGGTCAGGTCAAGCTTCCCATACGCTCCGGTCAATCATATTCATTCATTCAGCGATGCCGGAGCACTGTGCGGCGTATTCCTGTGCCAACAGGCGGACAGCAGAGAACAGGGCTCAAGAAATAACTTTTCACAGTTATGATTAAACGTTTTTTAAACATTACACTTGACTGTAGAGTCATTTGTAGGCCAAAGAGGAAGACTATCGGTCAACTCCAAAAAGGAAACAGCATTTGCGAACAGCTAGCTTATTCACAATAATAGCAACTTTGGTCGATTATCAACAGATTTGCATTAGATTGAAAAACTTTTGTTTGAGAGAGGTTCTAAGAAACGTTAAGAAATAAAATAGAAAGAAAAAGGAAGAAAGTGAGGTCTGTTTTATTATTTGTTTTATTAAAGATTTCTTTGTGGTGATCTCCTGTTTCATTTTGAAGATTTCCTAAGGACAAAAACTTGAGGAAGAAGTGGGAGATTGCTGTTAGAGGGAGAAATTCGCAGCAAGTGATTCCTCTGTGCTGTGTAGCCAACAAGCAAATTGATATGTAGTTTAGATGCTGTCCTGTCATGCTGTTCTTGTGTTTAAATTTTTTTGATATGTAGGCTATATATTTGTGTGTATTTTCCAGTTATTAAAATAGTGCTTCTATATGACATTATTTGTGTGTGTCTACAAATGGATAAATAAAATTAAACTATATAAAAAATTATAATCAAATCAATATATATTGAATTGACCTATTAATACCGCCAGTTATTAATAATTATTGAGACATAGCAGGAACCTAGCTCTAAACCTAGATATATCCTTGATTAATTGTTATACTATAATACAGCCACTGCTGCCATGTTCTAAAATATCATTTTATTCATTCTGAGTATTTGAAAACGCCAAAAAAAAATATGACCTCTATCATGCCTCTTTGAATGGCGTTTGCAGAGAAGAAAATTACGTAGTATTGAGCGAACTATGATTCATTAATGCGCTCAGACTTCATTCCGCCGGTTAAACAGCGGTGCAGAGTGAGGCGGATGACCGCACCAAGATGGCGGCCGCATTTCTCGACAGCGCCCATTCGTGGTAGCGGCCGATGCGGGGTCTATCTTTTATTATGTCTATGGCCCGTTTGGTTCAATCATGGAGGGAAACGAGGACAGACAGAGAGAGGAAGAAAGAGATGACACGCAGAGGAAACGGCAGAAAGTGTCTAAAGTGTGGGACCATTACACACTGAAAAGGAAAGAAAACGCCGTGCAGTGCGTTTACTGTAAGGCGGAGTTGGCGTTTCACAACAGCACGTCGTCAATGCTGCAGCACCTTAAAAGAAAACACCCGGTCCATGCATTAAGTCCGCTCTGAGGCAAACGTGATTCAATGCAAAGTATTACAGTGAGAGCAAAACATTTCTTATCCGATTACTCGATTAATCGACAGATTAATCGATAGAGTACTCGATTACTAAAATAATCGATAGCTGCAGCCCTAATGTAAATAGTTTCTGTTGTGAGTTTGTTCCAATCCCAATATTTCTTCTCCTGATAGCCAAGACTTGAGAGAATGATGTGCAGGTGAGAAAAGGCTTGGCCACGGTAGATTTATTTGCTCTTGCGATATTACCGATAGTTCTCGTGAGACTAGACAAGCTTTCACGAGATCTGGCGTGTTTCACTCTCAGACACTGAATGAGATCGGCGATGTATATAAACACCCACATCCCACAACCCTGGCCTCTCCTATTATCAAGCTAAGAACAGTTCAGCGTATGGATTTTCTTTATTTTGAAGATTAACCGGATATTTTACTCTGTAGCTGCATACACCTTCCGCTGCTGCTCGTGCTGCGCCACATTGAGTTAATGAGCCGCGTCCAGCAAAAATAGAAGCCTTGCGTATTTGGCCACAGGAGCTGATCCACAGCGGAGCCGGACGCCGGACGGATTCTGTGGAATGACACACATTGATTATAATGCTTGTGTATTTGATCCATGTGCCGGAGTGGAGCCGTTTTGCCTGCATGAGGCTAGCTAGATTGGGAAAATGAGGGGAAACCGCGTCATTGTTGGTTTTCAGTCAGTGTCTAATCAACTCAGTAGAAATGACAGATTTTGGGGTAAACTAAAAAGAATAGTCTTACAATGTCACTGTTTTTAAAACGGCATTTTTCTGGACTACTTTAAAATAAAAAAGGTAGAAATTGAGAGAATATCCACTTCTCCAGGGACCACTACACTACTGCTTGTGTTCATATCAAAAATAACAGAACAAAAATGTTGTGTTTTCCAACATGCAGCTGGATGATAACAATGAACAATATCAGCGTGTAAATGCTCTCATTGATGGCGTCCTCAGAAAGCGCTGTGCTTGCTGTTGTCGGGTTTATCCCAGAGGTTAAACCATCATTCGGGTCTATTCTCTAAGTGAACTCTGGTAGGAGGAAATCAGGCATCACCAAGCAGCAGGGGTGAAACTGTCAGCTGCAGTGGTAGTAAATGCACTGTGGTTGCCCCCTCTGTCTGCTCTGCTTCATCTCCCACTCCTTCAGAGGCTCGTCCTCAGCCACCCCGCCCCCTCCCTCGGCTCTACGAATCAGCAGATCTGTAACCTGTCAGCTGTGATGAATAGAGGGCGTCTGCAGCCGTGGCTGCCACCACGGGCACAGATGGATGATAGCGGGCTGTTAAAGTGCTTCCTGCGCCACAGTGGCCGACACAGTCAAGGCGAGCGGCGGCGGGCAACATTCCTCTGTTTCATTTTTTCTCTCTTTCTCCATGTTTGGACTGCCGGAGCTGCTGGCAAGAGCTGAAACACCCTCAGAGTACACCTGGTGTGCCAAGTTACGATTAGGTAGCAACAGCCTCGGTTTCTCCTCCTTCATTCACAATATCCTATTATTTCATGTCAAAACATCTCTGGAAAATTACCATCTGTACGTTTCAGCTGCCCGGTAACCAGCGATGGGCACAGGCTAACACTGTCCACACATTTCACTTCAGCGTGCAGCTATATCTAGTAATTGCAAAGCTAATTCAGGAGCTAATTGAGAACTATTCAGAATTAATTATGAGCCGTTCTCCCAGATGATGAAAAAAAATGTGGTTCAATTATAAACACTTCTGAATGTGGCCCTAATCACTCCACTTAGCCCCAGTGTGCAGTCAATAAAGCGAAAATGGATGCAGGCGGCTCATCGGTTTGTGCTGTTATTCAAAAACGACTTTCTAGTTTGTGTTTATATTCACTCACTGAAGCTGTATTCTTCATTAACTCGCTCCTGCCTTCCTCCTCCTCCTCCTCCGCAGACTTGAACCCATCTTAACGCACTTATCCTCTGAACAAATGAGCCTGAGTGATGTTGATTCTTGGAAATTCACTGACCTCCTCGCTGCTCTAAATCCTACTGAGCAGCTGTCACAGATGTTAGACCCCGTAATGACCCCGGGGAGGGATGAAGCATGAGCAAACACTAGGAAAAACATAAACCATGAGATGCACTGTTAAAATGTTACAGTGAGTTGTATGGTATCCACAGAGAAAAAGAGAGAGAGAGAGAGAGAACGAGCTCTGTTATAACCACCAGACAGGCATCCAGCAGAGATCAGCGGCATCCAGGCCTGCACAGAGGCACTGTTAGTGTGTTTGGATACAACAACTGAAG